GTATTCCTATTTTTAGGTACCGCTTGACAAATATTACAGCACAGTTTCGGTCTGTGCCGCCGCTGCTCCCGCTGTTATGTGTTAATAATCTGATTTTTAGTTTTCTTGTTGACTGCCACACAAAACGATGTTTAAAAATGTTTATGTAGTTACAGAAACGCTTCAATTGCAAGATCTCTCTCTCTCTCTCTCTTTGCAATTATAAATTATAAAGTATAGAGGTTACGATTTCAGATAGTTATACTGGATACCGCACTTGGAATAATGTCGCAAGATACTATGATCATGTCACTTCGTCATATCGGTGAAATCGATCAAAAAATCGAGCACGCTAATAATTCACAAGACCCACCCAAAGATTGCTCAGTGACGTCTTCGGGCCTGTGAAAGAGTTTACGGGCCCTGCAATTTATCATAATTAGCTAAGTAATACGCCAGGCTGGACAGCTAAATCAGAATGCCTGCACCGGTATCTTATGTAAAAATTGATGAAAGTACCATATTCCATCAATATTAAATTATAATTACCTGATTAGGTAAAATCAACCTTTAGCCAGTTCAACCCATCGGTGCGGTCCGGATCAAAGTCAGGGTTTGAGGTGAGCACTGGTTTTAGTATTAGCATTCAGTTTGGTTATTATTTACGGAGCTTGCCTGTGTGCCTCATGATCGGTTAGGGGTCGTAGTCGTACATATATTACGTAGTCACTTTATGGCTCATTTTAACCCCCCTTCCACCTCCGTAATCAGTTTTACACTAGCTATTGTGTTTTTACAATTACCTAACGTAATTATTTAGAAATCCCCTCCCTTCCCCCTCAGCGATTACGTAAAATACATAAACGACCATTACCACAAGTAGAGCGTTTTTTGAATTCGTTTGGCAATGCAAATTAGGTTCTGACTAGATGGCACGTTGCATATTGCATTACCTCTTTTCGCTGTCCGGTATCGGTATGCAACGTGTATCAAATCTAATCTTAAGGTCACTGAGGGGTTACTTTAAAACTTCAGTGGTTAGAACTAGAAGTGGGATTGGTGCGTCAATCTTAAACGAAAAAGTCTTCAATTATGGAGGAGTGTGTTTGTTATAAAGGCTTTGGAATGGTGACGGTCAATTTAAAAAACTTCAAACACCTGCTTATAACTTGTTTTCTGCGGCCTTGAAACTTCATTCTGAATCCCCCCGATATTCCATTTCGGCACCTTTACATCCAAACTTAGCTAGATTAAGGAATCATTTATAACAGTATACAGTCACGAAGGAAAAACTCTTGTTGACCGTTATTTCCATCTGATAGCCAATAGCAATGTCCAGGGACGATGGGAGTTAACGCCAAAACTGGTGACAAATTAAGGTATTATGAAAGAGCATATTAAAGTTGTGCACCTGTGCCACAGGAATTGTTTGGCTATAGTTAAAGTGAATTTGTTAAATCGCTTTATCAATATCCCTATCATTATTCAATAGCATTCTTATCTAAAAAACAGTCAATAAAATACAACCAAATTTTGCGTTTAATACAATGCTTGAATGTTTGGTTGATCCATTCGTTTAGTATTACTATTTTATTTGTTGTTAAGTCGAAACGATTTGTCTGATATGACTAAAAAAAGGTCGGTTTTACCTTTAATACTGGTTATTGAGACTCGCTCCTACTAAATCGTCGCCCAAATTTAAGAAAATCTTGTGAAAGGCCCTTTAGGCATGAAAGTGATCCGGATCGGTGTATTTTTGGACGCTGCATTCCGAATCCCCCCCTGGAGTAGGGTTTAGGTTAAATGCTTCCCTGTAGAGTTATGGGCAAAAAAACCGTTTTGGTCACGTGACAGGCTAGTAAAACGTGAATTCTATTATTTAGGGCTCGGGTTAGGGTTAGGGTTGTGGTTAAGATTATGGATAGCTTCGGGGTTATGGTTAGGGTTAGGGTTGGGATTAGGGTTTATGTAAAACCGTTTTGTACGGCTGCAAAACCAAAAAAACCAAAGTCACGTGAAATTTTTGGGCGAGCGATTTAGTAAGAGCCTTAGGGTTGTGGTTAAGATTATGGATAGCTTCGGGGTTAGGGTTAGGGTTGGGATTAGGGTTTATGTAAAACCGTTTTGTACGGCTGCAAAACCAAAAAAACCAAAGTCACGTGAAATTTTTGGGCGAGCGATTTAATAAGAGCCATTAAGACTAGGAATGCTCTATTTCAGAGCATCTGAACTATTTCCAAGATTTCAAAGTCAATCAACGTTTGCAAATAATACCACATGGAATTATAGGGCTCAAATTTAAGACATCAGAAGCCACCGTGAGTCCTTTGATCTAACTCTAGGAGTAGGACTGCAGCATCTTTCATTTGATACCGTTAGATTTGAAAGGGCAGCTAAACATATTTTGTACATTAACGGTCGACATTTTGCGATGTGTGGCACAACAGCTGTTGCATTTGCAAGGCGTTTGTCAAAGTTTGAAGTGGTGCTCGTAAATTGGCCGACTTGATGCTATTTATATTTGTTTAACTAAAATTTTGTTTAAGCACGTCTCTATCTCACAAACGTCTTAAGTATACTAGATCTCAATGCAGCGAAATGACGCCTGAAATAAATGTTTGGCTGATCGTGATTGTGCCCTGATCGACCAGATGCTGTAGTAAACCTGACCTATAAAGTTCCTGTAAACAACAATCCAAGTTCTAATTTGTTTTTAATCACTCGAGACTGGTGTTATCCCATGGTTCCTGAAAGTCGGCAGGAGAGTTACAAGGTTTATGCCCCTGTAATACAGACTGTATATTAATCAGGATCTCTGTAAAAATCATGGGTTCGCGGTATCTTTTTTCGCTATCATCTTAGTAGTTATGATACTAGCTGATGTGGACGTTGCTATAGCAAATATTGTGATTTTGATAACTTATTTCATTGGCAAAAATTATTCTACTAATTTTATGTCTTACATGTTCTGAATTAAGTTGCCAAATCTTAATCAGTTTCATTTAGTTAGGTTAGTACATCTATGGCACTTATTGTGAAGTTTGCCAATCTGATATTTGGCTCCATCAATCTATTCCTTGGTGAGTGAAACGTGTTTCATTACTTGTGATCATGCTCTGTTGTCTTTCAAGAAATTAAAAACATTATTAAGCTGTTCTGGAGAAGTGAATACTCTGTGATAAAAAGTGAAATTTCAGGATTTCTGGGGATGTCCCTGAACATCATGATATTTTACGGTTGGAAGAGAACCCGTACCAGAAGTTCCAACTGTTTGATCCACATCACTATCAGTAACCTGATCGCAGGTGGACAAAGAAACTAGGACTTTCAGTTTGGTTTTATGGTACCACAGGAATTTAAATCAGGCACCGCACCATGCTTTTACAGGAATAGTCATTATTCGTTGATATCACGATATAAGTATAACATTAACACTAGGTTCCCACAACTGACCCCTCTCTTCACCTCAGGAACACAAGCTGTAGTGTTAGGACTGGGTCTGGTTAACCAGAGAGAAAAACTACCCACAGACATTCTGTTTTGTCAAATTCCTGGCATTCTGGTTAATCTGAACCAGATATCAACACCCCTACTCCTCTCCATCACTACTATCGAGAGAATCATTGCTATAGCCTTCCCCGTCAAGTAAGCTTGTAAATCACCGATCAGAAATATCTTAGAATGTCTTATCCAAATTGAATGTTAACTGAGTCAGTGATACAGGATTTAATATTAATGATTTATTCAGGTTTTCCCAGCTCAGCTTCAATCATCCGTTTTATTGGATCGGGTTCTCTATAAGCTGGATATGGGGTAAGTTTATAGTTTTCAATTCTATCTTAAGCTAAAAACACTGAGCTAAAATTTATAAGTAGAAAAAAACCTCTCATCACTAAACGAGAAATAATTTGAAATTTCCTAAAATAGCAATCCCTACGACAGGTCTCGGCGTGGCGTCGGCCCCCTTCATTGCAGGACACAAGATGAGATACCAACCAGATTGGGCAACATGTGATTTCAAGATGACCGAGATTATTCCAAACCACCACAACGCCGGCTACTTCCTCGTCCTCTTTCTTCTTGCCGTGCCTCTCATAATTGCATGGTTTATCATCGTAGCTGGGAACTTTATAGTTGCGTTGAAACTGTTCAAGTCTCCAATCAAACGAGCGAAACAACAAGACGACACTGGTACAGGTAACTCCTGCCCAGTCTTACCCGAGAACTGCATCATTCACCACCAAGAACCCACTTTCCAAAAAAACAATAGACCTATATCTTATCCCAACACGAGACGTCTATCAAATCCAAACACTAGGCGAGTATCCATCCCCTCCAGAGAAGATCGGAGCAGTTCCCTAACTAGCGGGAGTGCTGTTGTTGCCATCATTGCCAAGCATAAGGCAATCCGGCATAGTATCAGTGGTCTGACGAGGATGGAAGCCGCCGTCATCAAGTGCACTTTATCCCTATCATTCAACTACCTGGTTATCCATTTCATCTTCATCATGCAAGTGCTAGTGTACGTGTTTGAGCCGGATACGTCTGTATTCGACCTGATAGCAGCAACCCCCGCAGGAAAACTGTACGCAACCTTGTGGTACTACATGGCGATGCCAGTAACCGGATTTGTGAACACCATCATGCTCCTTAAACACAACAAGAACATGAGGAGGTCCACCTGGGAGTTGATAGTGCGGGGAGGCCGGAATGTGGCGGGAATGTGTGACAGTTGCAGGTGTAGTTTTAAAGGGTAGTTGGAGATGTGATCCATGTTAGTTATAGGACTACGAGGATCGCGGTGAATTGGAGAACAAATAGTGTATGTTTTAGCGTTTTGTTTTTTATTTGTATAAGTGTGTAAATGGAATCAATGAACGGTATAATTTACCAATAAATAGTCGTGTTTATTTGTAATTTATCTATTTCCTATAGAACAATTTTCCTGTGGAATTCATTTTCTGTGAAACTTAAACGATTCTGATTTTGTCTTGCGTTTAACCCCGAAATAAAACGAATAGTTTATCGAACTGCGTGTCACATTTTAGGTTAAGAAATACAGCAATACTTTACACAGGCCATACAAACATTAAACGGTTATATAATGAGGTTATAATGATTAATTAGTAACAAAAATATATTCTATATTAATAACAAGCATGGAATAATAATAATAAATGCAAATAAAGATTACAGTTACTGTGATCTGTTATATAATATTCGGTTAGCACTTCATTTATGGGGAGGATATTTATATTTGTAATAGCGAAAAACACCGAAATCCTCCTCAGTAATTACAGTTAATATCAGCAGTAGCCAATCAGCATACGATATTGGGCAAAGTCAGTAAAATTCAATTCTTTTTAACGTGTGTTCATCAGTGGTACCAGATTAGAAGGGCAAGAAAAAGAGATTATTATAAAAAACAAATTCGCTCAAACCCTCATTAATTTTAAGCAGGTATATATTTTCCTAATATTTGGAAGTTTCGTGTTTCTATCACACACATGGTTGGTTGTCACTGATGAGCATACGTCTAAGACACTACAATTAGTGAAAATTGGTTTAAGAAATCTGATGAAGTATGTCACCTCCGATAAACTTTACCCAGCATGTACATTCAAACGAGAAATGATTAAAAAGAAATAAAAGAAAAACACTTTCATTGTCTAGATCTAGCGGTTCCGTATGTTTAATATTCTGATTTGTGTCCAAAGAACCAAAATTATATGCATCAATCAATCCTGCAATTAACGCACTTTAAACTGCAGATTAGAATAATAATCTTATAGTTTCTCTAATTGTCCTTTATATTATATAGTCTGCAGCTAAAACGAGGGCGTCATTGAAGAGTGACTAAACAAAATGTTAATCGATTCGGAAATAAAAGTCAATATCCCCTAAAAATTGTAACTATTAGTATAAAATGTGTTAAAGTGTACCATTATTGCCCCCCCCCCCCCCCATTATTGCATATTGCATTACTATTTCAACAATATAAGTTCAGTGAAACAAAAACCCAATTTGATAATAAAAGGCTCTTCTGTTGTCCAAGTGACATACTGTGAATTCAATCATTTGAATTCACGAAAATTGATGCCGCGAAAATGATCCAATTCAAGAAATCCGTAAAATCAGTACCCACAAAAAAAAATGGTTTTACAGTACCGATTGTTTAATACAACACTTAAAACGTGCCCTATCACTCGTATGTAAAACACGATCACTGAATCTCGTATTTACTGACAAATAGGTTTACAACTTGACAAATAATTTGAGATTTGAGACAATATATTTACCTATTATCGAAACTTAACGGTGTGTCGGAAAAATCTTCTATCTTAGTGGACACATTTGAAATTGGATATCACTATAATTTAGGTCACTATAATTTAGGTCCTTCTCTTAATTTTTGATCTAAGTTTCAATTAGACTTCATTTAAAATGTTCTTCCATATCAAGAGAGAACTCTGAATATGTCCACTATGATATCATGAAGATAAGAATCTTCCAGCTGCTAGTGCTATAATCCTAAGCTAACGTGTATAAACATAATTTGAGTACTCGTTAAATAAATAGAACGGGAAATGAATAATATTCCTATCCAGTTTGTTCTCTTAAAAGGAAATCCATATGATTTCTGTCTATCATCATGGATACTTTATATTTTATACCTTGTGTGAAATACAGCTTCAACAATTTTAACTTATACTATTAACGGTGCAGGATAACAACTAACAAACAGAAGGAGGAATAAGAAAATAGCTGACGTACAGCTGACAGGACGTCAAATTGGCAGATGGTTTTCAGCAAATGTCTGAAGTTTCTGCACATTCCAAAGAAAGGCGTGGTCTGACAAGGGATTGGTTCACTCCCAGGTTGACCAGTCTTGCGTTGTAAGCTGATACGTACGGATCACTGCTGACTTCGCTCTGGAATTATGGAGAGTTTTACTTTTTTGGGCCAGATATCAGAAACCTATTTTGAAGAAGACAAATTGATAAAGGTGAAAACATAAATTTATATTATTATTTATTCATTTGTGTTAAGGAATACCTGTGATGATTGGACACATTTCACGTTGAGCACGGTCCCGTCTATTTCATCACTGTCACTTGTACTGAGACTATATGTTCGAAGAATCTGGAGTCTCGCTTTAACGCTGTGTAGTTGTTGTGCCACATATTCTTGTAAATACGTTTCGTCCTGTAAGAATTACTCGGTTGATCATCGCATTATTTGTATGCGTCGGTGGTTGAGTGGTACAATTCTCGCCTGCCACGCGGGAGGCCCGGGTTCGATTCCCGGCCGACGCACTTCCTTTTTGGAAGACCAAGGCTAGATCATCATAGGAACAGTCAACAGAACAGTCTTGATCCATCTAATCTCATAACAGTTAAATCATCCCAAATAAATCATGATAAACTATATTCTCTAATGTCTCTAATCTCGAACAGCTCAAAGCCAGTACTAGAGTCAAAAGGGGTCGTTCACATATTACGTAATCAATATTTTAGCAATTTTCCCGTAAATAAGTGATTTTTTGTTGGAATGCTTATTTTAGATAAAGTAGTGATCAGTAAAGATTATGTTTTTACTTCATTCGATTCTTTGTATTTCCATTGGTTTGTTCAAATTAGCAAATTAATTACTTGCTAATTATTTTGCGCGCACCGCACGTGCGCGCGGTTTAGTTCCGCTGTTAACTGACACATTTCATTGCCGCGCGTGCCTGTAAACACGTGTTGTAGACCTATCTGCACGAACGATCATCAGTGACTAGAGATATAAAACTGGACATTTAGTACAGCTAACGTTTACAACTATATATCGATAACAGTAAATGACTTACAGTTATAGTAATTACAGTTCAATGAGACACAGTAAATCTACGGATGGAAAAGAGTACATTTTTGGCGTAACGACGTAACGTTACCAGGATGAAGTGTCCACACCGGCCGGCTCCGCTTTTTGATGTTTCAAAAGAGCTCCCAAATCGCTTAAATAAGGTTTCCAAGTTTCGAAACTACGTTTCAACTATCAGATTTAGCATCGGATCACGTTTTATCTGCACTGAGCTAAGAATGAACACTTGAATAAGTTTGGTTTTGAATCTGTATAAAAGTTTCAGGGACGCCCCCCCCCCCCCCAGCCTAAATACCCCTCCCCTTTTCGTTGCTAACATTTCTATAGTGAGCTGCTAAGTTCGTATCCAGGTAAATTAGCGAGGGAAGATTTTAGTACTTTTAGAATAATATTGGTCAAATCTTATTAGATGTAATATCCTCCCAGAATTTCGTTAAACATTAAATATAATAATATAAATATTCTCGAGTGGGCGATACTAGATGCACCCAGGTAGGGTCATACTCGTTTACTCAGTACTCAGTTAGTAATATGTTTCGGCCGAGGTAACAATATTCCAGGATTTCAGAAGGTTTCCTTATATATACGGTAGCCCCAGAGAATCAAAGCTAATAAGTTAGACAGGTAGAAATGAAATTATAACATAAATAGTACGTCAAGAACCGCTCAATGCCTGTATTTTGCAGCAAACTACATATTTTCAGTTATGATGACTGTCATTCAAAAGTTTTAAAATTTTGACAATTCCATGGGAGTGTTCCTCGTTTTGACAGATATCTGTCCGAGTTATATTATATAGGGTTACAGTTATATGTTAGGATTTGCAGTGTTCACATATTATAATAATAGAAAGTGGCGCCCTGTTCTAAAGTTACGGCATGTAAAAAAATGTTATATGTGTAGGATATCATTGTCAAGAGTGACAGTTTCCTAGCTTATAACATCCTGGAATATATGGAATAAAGAACTTGCTTCAAGTAATATTGCAAAGAATTTAATTCAGAAAAGACAGGGGAATTTCAATTATTTGTAACATTCAAGAAATTCAAATCGGTTTACTTTAGGAACTTAAGGCATGTAGCAATTAGAGCAATAAGAAAGAGGTGTACGAAATAAGCACATGTAAAACTAAGAGCATGGTCATCGGGAGAACTTTTAAAATAATATAAATAGGAGCAAAAAAGAATTAGTACTAAGTAGTATTTAGTACTAAACAAAATTTCCCGTGGCAGTTACCTTTGTTTCGTTACTTTTTTAAGACTTCCTGTTAGCGTTGTTGTTATCTTGGAGCGGAGAAATTTGCAAAAAATGTTTCGCGGGCATTGTCTCCCTGCTCGTAACAACAAATACAGTTGAATTTCAATTATTTGTTACTTTCTTGAAGACTGTTCAAAACGCTTGAGGCATGTATGTAGCAACAAAAAAAGGTAAATCCCTGCAATATGTGACATGTTCGAAATGAGCAAGGCGTGGCCATTAAGGAAGCAGGGGAGGGGGGGGGGGGGGGGGGGGGGGAGGGGGGGACAAGGGGAGATGCGCAACAGCAAGAGTGGATAACTTCAAGGGGGAGAAGAGCGCAAAATAATTAGTGTTTATTAGATAATATGACCTTAGCACTAAACTTTCTCTCTGGTGGTGATCTCTGTCTTGTCACGTTTGTAAGCTTTCTCGTTGTCTAGGAGCATCGTAATTCGTGAATTATAAATATGTTTTCGTAGGCGATTTGTCCTCCATAGCATTGGGGATATAGTCCCCTCCTCTCTCCTACAGAACCTTCCATTAGCACCTCCCATTGTGTGGGGGAAAGAGCCTCTTACAACACCCCTGGTCGGACCTGGCCCACTTAGTTGGCAGAGTGCCCAACCTCTTACAACACCCCTGGTCGGACCTGGCCTATCATATTTTACCTTTAAGTTATTATATTCATAGACATGTCTGAGTGGTTATGTTTTGTTGTTTCACACACATTCATTCCCTTAGCATGTAAATACAACAAGGATGTAAATACCAGTCTAGTATAGAGGATTCAGGTGAACGGAACGAGAGCTAACCCTGAAGGGCAGGTAGTGTAATGTTTAGCTTATTTTGGTCTTTGTTCCTTTTCAGTTTCTTTGTAGTAGTTTCTTTAGTCCTAGGTTTGTAGTTTTGGGTTACTACTTTCTAACATACTTTCTTATATTTACAAGGTTGTTTTTAGTTCTAGTGAGTAGTCTGCTGCTGTAAGAGTGAAGAGCCAGACAAGTCAAGTTCCAGTGTGTGTGTGTCACGGGGACCACACAGAAGAACCTAAAGAGAAGATCTAGTGTTTGTGAGTAAGGGAATATCATAACACGTTCACATCACTTCTGGGGAAGTGATAGAAGATTTAGTTTCTAAGAAGTTAGAAGAAGTTAGAAGAAGTAGTTTCTAAGAAGTTTGAACTGTTATTAAGAAGGATTTACAGTTTTGGGAAGATTTGTTTGTAATCACATTACCACACCACTCACGAGGTTAAGTGAGTGAGAGTTGTGTTTGAGGTCTGTGTAGAGTGACGTGCAGCGATAGTGAGTGCAGCGTTAGTGTGCTAACCCATTACCAATTTGTTACCAATTCAATTACTAACCCATTTAACCAATTGTTACCAATTTAGTTACTAACCCAAAAATACAAGTGTTTTACTTTGTCTCCCGTGATTGATCAGAATATACAATTTAACATGGCCCACTTAGTTGGCAGAGTGCCCAACCTCTTACAACACCCCTGGTCGGACCTGGCCCACTTAGTTGGCAGAGTGCCCAACCTCTTACAACACCCCTGGTTGGACCTGGCCCACTTAGTTGGCAGAGTGCCCAACCTCTTACAACACCCCTGGTCGGACCTGGCCCACTTAGTTGGCAGAGTGCCCAACCTCTTACAACACCCCTGGTCGGACCTGGCCCACTTAGTTGGCAGAGTGCCCAACCTCTTACATCACCCCTGGTCGGACCTGGCCCACTTAGTTGGCAGAGTGCCCAACCTCTTACAACACTCCTGGCTACGCCCTTTAGCTTTAGCATGCGCAGTACATGACAGGTGCTAATAGTCGGCAATGTGGCGACCTGTCATCTACTTAGCACTAACGAAGCGTTTCTATATCTCCTTATTGTGTTTATTAAAAACTATATTTAAGTTATTTTCTGAATTTAAATGCTGTAGAACTAGAGTGTAGACTATTCAATGCATCAACTCTCGAGTACCAAGATCGATAAATAGTAACATAATCGGTAAAATAGTAACCAAGATCGATAAATAGTAACATAATCGGGGGGGGGGGGGGGGGGGGGGGGGGGGGGGGGGGGATCAGGTACTTAGTTCTGTACGTGACGACGACTAAGTGTAATTTTGGAATTTTGTCAAAAGACCCACCCACCCCCTTCGCGGTACTAACTGTTTTTTCGGATAATAATTAAGACACAGCTCATTAAACATTGGGAAATGGACAAATTTTAACCACTATTTAGTAATGGTTTTGTTTTCAATGTAGTCGAATTAGATAAAAAGTTACAAAAACAGGAAAAAATTCAAAAAACCCAAAAAGAAACTAAAAACCATTAAAACCCAAAAAACCATTCCCAAAATTAAAATTTGAGGTAAAATGGGTTTTTTTTGGGCTTGGACACCCCCCATGTACTAACTGTTTTTCTGGGAAATGGACCATGTACCAACTGTGTTTTGGAAGAAAATATGACCCACCCCCACCCCCCCCCCCCCCCCCCCCCCCCCCCCCCCCCCAACGTACGGTTCTAAGTGTATGATCCCCCGACATAATTATAGATATAAATTCCTCTCCCTAGTCAGCCTAGTGCCTCTGCTCGGGAAAATCTGGAGAATGTCAACTTAAACTGTAGAAATTCTGGTACACTTCATCATTCATGGTGAAGAAAGTACGTCAGATTTTAAAGTACGTGATCTAGAATTACAACACGTACACTGAAGAGTTATTTAGAAAAGGAGTGCTTTGTCGAACCCAGAATAGAAAGTATGGTCAGCCGTCTGAAGAGAAACCATACAAATTTAGATACTTATGTTTCCCTGAGTTCAATAACCTGAGCTGTAAGTACTGAGAAGGCAGCGACAAAACCTTAGAACCCACTAAAAAAGTATAGTTTGAGGTGTTGGTAAAAGACATCAACTCTCCAGTATGCTTTGTAAATCTAATATACGTGATGAACTGAGGAGTATGTAGACTACTTCTCATGTAAACAAGCATTGATTCCAGGGATAATATCCGGTAGTAGAGACTAGGTAGGACAAGTGAAACTACTGTTTAGGAGGAAACGCAAGTTTCACTTGTCCTACCTAGTTTCTACTAAGTACATTATCTGATCATGAGACTGATAAACAGCAAACCTCTCCAGGATCTCATAAACAAGCAGTCTTAGTAAAAACTTGTTATGTGTAATGTGTATATGATATTACTATTAGTATGTTATATCACTTTTGTAATATTATGAGCCTGAGAACTTGAAATAAGTTATTTTTGGCACAAATAAAGCTAAGTGCTACGTAACGCCTAGTAACGCCTAGTAACGCCTAGTAACTACACGTTACTAATTTGAGGTGGAACATGTCTTCTGACAGCGCACCAAGGAGCCAGTGTGTTGTTAGTGAACACCAGGCATTATATATGTTTAAGTTGATTAAAATGAGTGTATCAAATTAAAATGGAGAAACGTTATACATAATATATGTTACATACATACATGTTACATGGCGAGATCTCCATCCAAAAGGATTAGTCTGCGTCATCTGCGTCATTACTTTGTATTATACAACTTCGGCGGGTAATATTTCTCCATCCTTTTCGATCTGCAGCCAATCTTCTCATACAATCAATCGTGAGTCCATTACGATCCAATCTCTGCTCAGCATCTTCAATAAATACATCATTTAAGCTCTTCCTAGGCCTGCCTCTTGATCGTTTCCCATGCTTGGGTTTCCATTCAAGTAGATAGTTAGGTAACCGATCTTCAGGCATTCTACTGACATGTCCAAACCAACGTAGCCGTTTTGTTGCTATTATGTCAGTAAGAGCAGTTATTGAAGCCCTTCTTAAAACATCTTCATTTCTTACTCGATGGAACCACCTCACTCTCAGGATTCTGCGTAAGCAGTACTGATGGAAAGACTCTAATCTTCTTGTCTGCACTTGAGTCGTGTTCCATATCTCACTTCCATAGGTCAGAATGGTAAGAACAGCTGCGATGTAGATTCGCACTTTGTTGTTAATGCTTATGTTCTTATTCTTCCAAATGTTATTGAGTTGGTTAAAAGCTCCGGTTGCTTTTCCAATCCTGACACTTATTTCTTTATCGATCTTGCCATCCGATGTAATTTTGGCACCCAAATAAGTGAATTGAGTGACCTGCTTTGCAGAGTTTCCATCGACAGTAATATCTATGGTCCTATTCTCTGGGAGTGGGTGCTGCGACGTATCTTTCCCAATTACCATGATCTCTGTTTTCTTTGCGTTCATCTTTAAACCCCCAAGCCCACAGTATTTCGCAATATTGTCCGTTGTTTCTTGCAGTCCCTCGACAGTGTCATCCATGCCTGCTATGTCATCAGCATAGTCCAAATCAATGACACATTTTTCCGGTTGTCTGGAACTTTGTCTGTACTGAAGAGTAAAACCACGCGATATATTTTTAAACTTCTCGGCAAGTTCTAATCCCCAGTTAAGTACAAGGTTGAAAATGGGGGGCCCTTGCACATCACCTTGTCCAGTCCCCGAATCGACATCAAACCATCTTGTCAATTCCCCATTGACACGAACTGCACTTTCAGTTGCTCTAAAGAACGCTTTGAAAACATTGATGTATTTTGTTGGAAGACCATAATGTTCAAAAGCTTTCCAAATAAAGTCACGATTGATTGAATCAAAAGCAGCTTTAAAATCAATAAAGTTTATATACAAAGGGACGTTGAATTCTATACAATTGTGTATTATACAATGAAGGGAGTATAGCTGATCTATACAAGAACGGTTTCTCCTGAAACCACACTGATTTTCTCTAAGTAACTTTTCAAGCCCATTACTTAGTCTTTTTAACAACACAATTTGAAATAACTTCGATACTGTGGAGCGTAGAGTTATCCCTCTGTTGTTGTTGCAATATGTGAGGTCCCCTTTCTTTGGGATGATGGTGATGATTCCTTATATGTACATAGTGTATATTATATATATATATAATATAATACATCAAATTATATCAAATTATTACACATATAATAGTACTGACCTCGTCCGTGTCGGGGAAGGAGGCGTCGTCAGTTGAGTCCAGAAGATTCTCAGTACTGCTCAGGTCGCTGGAAACATTGCTCAAATCACTGCGAGCCATCAGGTACTCCTGAACCAGAATTGATTCTTTACTTATAAATTTAAAGTCGATAATTTACGAGGAGATGAAATAATTTCCTCTTTAAGTACTTAGTAGTCACTGAGAAGGGTTTCTAAGTTGTCTGTATATTTAATATAGTATAGTATTTAGTATATTTGATACAAGAAAAACGTCATTCTTGGCTACAAGGAGGATTTGTACTGGTTTGAATACCTCGAATAATCATTTTGAACTTACCTGACTATCAAATTCGTCACACTTAGAGGGTTCACTAAAGGCACGTACGATGCGCGTGTGAGAATCATCACTGGCTACATACTCACTACCCTCACCAGGGAACCGGGGAGTCACTAATCTCGTCTTCTTGCTTATCTGTGCAAATAGTAAACTTGTTTATAACACACTGGTAATCTCGTCTTCTTGCTTATCTGTGCAAATAGTAAACTTGTTTATAACACACTAATCTCGTCTTCTTGCTTATCTGTGCAAATAGTAAACTTGTTTATAACACACTAATATCGTCTTCTTGCTTATCTGTGCAAATAGTAAACTTGTTTATAACACACTAATATCGTCTTCTTGCTTATCTGTGCAAATAGTAAACTTGTTTATAACACACTGGTAATCTCGTCTTCTTGCTTATCTGTGCAAATAGTAAACTTGTTTATAACACACTAATCTCGTCTTCTTGCTTATCTGTGCAAATAGTAAACTTGTTTCAACTTGCTTATAACACACTGGTATGAATGTATGGTATCTGTTCAGGGTTTATGATTTGTTTTTAGTAAAATAGGCACTGTTGCTGGTCAAAAGCAGCTTTTTATCATAAAGATCACACAATAAATTGGATTTAGAAACTCCTAGTTGTCAACAGCTCATGATAGCTGTCACAAAGTCAAGGTGAAGGTGCTCTATTATATATAGCCTATATAACCTTTGATGTGGCAACGCATTGAAAGGTCTTAAAACTTTCGGAGATTTATGTTATGGTAAAATATTCAGTCTTGGCTTTTACGGCTAACATTCGTCAGTCACTCTACTTAAATCTGTTAATTAGATTTACTTTCAATTAAGAATCCCATAAAATGTCTTATTTAAGATATGAGTATCTCTAAACTTCTAACTTAAGACGTTAACAGTACCTCTAAAACATTAGGTTCAGAAGCTGTTTTTCCAGCGTAACCTCTCCCAAGTTTACTAGCTTTCCTCCGGCTTCTCTTCTCCAAACAGCTCTGTATGTAATCCAGGTAATCCTCGTCTTGGGTGAACAGTTTAATACTGTCACGTGTTTTAATGGGTAGCACGTCAGACATTGAGGCTACTTTTGGGTTCTCACGGTAACGCGCATATTCTGACTCCTCATCTGATATCTGCAGGTGTCAGGTGTTAGACCAGTTAATTTAGGTGTTACTTGTTAGGTGTTAATCGTTCAATCCTTAAATATGAACGGATTGTTATCAATAAGTAGCATATAACTTTGGTTAAGTATAATCAGATTATTGTCGATTATTTTCCATTGACTGTAGCTGTCCACTGCACCATATTAAGTAATACTCGAAACAATTTAATCTCCAAATGTCAGCTTGCATCAAATAATTTGCGCTTCAGACATTACTCCACAAGTTTCATTAATAGTGGCCAGATGATGGTAATACAGGTACACTGCGTGACATGCTAGGTGTTATTTTGTAAATTTTAGCTTTTCTGAAACGGCTTTTTAATGGCCATAAACAGTGCTAACTATAGTTAGTTATTAACGTTAGTTACTAGCTCTAATTAAACTTAAGTTAGGACCGTTTATGGCCGTTGAAACGCTTGATAGATTTATTTGTGACATTACATAACAGTGGATCAATCAGACACTTGTCAAGTTTATCTTCCAAGGAAATGATTCGCCGCAGCTCAATACAGAGTAATACAGAGTAATCCAACTACGGACCGCCTGGAGAGGCTCGAGTAGACCCCACTGCAATGGACCACGGCCGTTCAAACGTTGCTCTCCAAATTGTGAGCTTTAAGTGTAATTTTAATCTATTAGTGGCCAGATTTTGGCGGCCGAGGTAAACCTTGACTGAATTGCAAATTGTGTGAACGTGGTCCATATATTATCCTCGTAACACCAAGGGGTTGTGTAACTCTAGATTACAATATCTTGTAGAATACCAAAGTTCTATGATATAAAATATGTCCCTTTTCAATCAGATACACAACAGCTGGTTAAGGGGGCCGGGGGGGGGGGGGGGGGGGTTCACAGCTGGTTAAGGCTGACTTTGCATCCAATATCATTACTGAATTGTGCAACAATAATTGATGCAATATCACTTATGAGATAACACCGGTCTGATAAAGTTATAAAATAAATACACTATTACAATGACTATTAGAATGACGTAATGAACTCACGATAAAAGCAGATGGATTCTCAATAAGGAGTTGGGTGATCATGCTGTGATGGTTGATGTGCACGATACTAGCCGAGGAGTGCTCGTGTTTCGGTCTGATCAGGGTAGGTCCGAACACTATACCCAGATTAACTGACGTCATCTGATTCAGCCCCTGAGAAAAACAGTGTAAAGTGTACATGAGACCTATTTTTAACGAAACCTTCAATGAATGTGTCAGACTTTAAATCAATTGAACTTGAATTTTTAAAACGTTCCCCTGAAATATCCCGGAAGTATATAATTTCCGAAATGCAGCCAAACCTCATTAAGACTAATTCTGTTTAGATGTTCAACAATAAAACGCAGTGTGAATCTGTTAGCTTTGGGAAGCTTCTCCAGGATTGCATGCAGTTGTTTCAGCAGGGTCTGGAGATCAGCTCCGTTTTCTTGCTGGTTCAAAGCAATCCTTATCAGGTCCTCGTAGTTGGAATGCAGTAGAAGTGGTTCTGGTAGCTGAAATAATAATATTATCGGTGTTAAAACATCAACCGTTTAAACTTTAATCTAATTTAAAGGATGACGTTAAACCAGCTGCTTCGAAGTTTCTAGATCCAAATTTAGCTGTCTAGAACACATAACAACGCTCTGCTAGTATACGAAAATCATGCCAAGATACCATAAGTTAATTTAATCAAATCAAATTTATCAAACCTGTCGGAGATAAAGTTTCAAGACAGATGAAACCAAGTGAGGCGACTTGTCATTCAGCTCGACCAGATCCAACCCGTTCTCGAAGCTTCTGCACAAACTCTGCATCTTGCTCTTAGCTCCAGCTACACGGTATATTCCCTGAACATAGAGATTAGCGAGCCGGAGTATTATCAAGGGAATTACCAATTATTGGTAAATTTAATAGACACCAGCAGTTACGATTCGGATCATCGGGTTACAAAATATGGTGGGTCATTAGCCGTTGTGAGGTTGTTATTTACTGACTAAATAACAATCACAATTAAGAAAGAACAAAATATAGAATTTTGTAACAACAATGATTGAACTGACCTTGATATCCATTCCAGTGGTTTCAATGTGTTTTACACATTTGAAAACCACGTAAGGAATTGTGCAGTGTGTTGCACACAAATGTGTGGAGAAATCAACCCCGAATGTTGGGACCTGTAATATTCAGTTACGTTTTTATCTACGTAAGTTAAAGCTATTTATTTATATTGTTTATACTGTTTATGGGCAAATAAAAGTCTTGCCCTCCCAAATAATGCAAATCGTTTGTTTGTGATCGTTTCTTAAAGGAGTATTATAGTAGTAAGATCTGTATTATAACAAACCAAAGTTTCCCCAAATGGTCATGGTTGGTCACTGGTCAGTACTAATTGCCAGTACTAAATGTGTCTATCATCATTATATATTTAACCACGACTTTTTTAATCTGTCTTAATCATTTTTAAAACGACTGGTCTTTCTGACTTTGCTGAGCAGGGGGTAGCAGATGGCACATAGTACCTCAAATAATGGTAGTGGTCAGAACTAGCTGGGATTAACATTCCTGATTAGAAGCAGGATCATGAAGCAATCGTTTAAATATTGAACTTATGAAGATCAGCAGCATTATTATATCATATAAAATTAAACTTATAATACCTTATGGGGCAATGGGTGGCCACCACATTTGATAGACAAACTCTTTAAACACTTCCTATGGCACACGATACCGCATTTCTGACATTCGCTGCCTTTTAAATAAACGTAATTTTCACAGGCTCTGCAGCGTACAGGTGCTCTGCTCCTTCGAAATAGATGAGTGCTGAGAACATCTGGAATCACATCCTTTGACATACAGCACTGAACTAGGATATCGTGTTCAAAGTGTTATTTATCGCAAATATAATTTAATATCTCATATTTAAACCAGACTGGTAAAATGCAATTATATTCAAAACGTCTGAGTTCCTCTTAAACTGATTAAAAGTTAAAAGTCATTATTAAAATATCACCAGCTGCGACAAATACTGCTCTTAGTTGTATAGAAAATGTTTAATAACCCTGGTGGGAGAGTGATAGCTGAAAAAGGGGGGGGGGGGGGGGGGGCAGGTAAAAGAGTCTGTTGTTGATACTGTCACCTTTTTGAGTGACTGTTATGAGTTACAACAAAATTCCAGCGAAAAATTGACTGATTAACGATTAACACATGATAATCATGCCGTACAGGGCTAAAAATAATTGAGTTTGAGATTTGCAAGACATTATTGTCAATTGAAGGGCTGGCCCCAAAAATTGCTGTTTCTGTTGACCTGATAATTTGGTTGGCTAAAGCTACTAGGAGCCACTTAAACCTGTAAAGATGAAATAAAATGAGATCAATCATAATGACATAAACAATATTATATGTCTACTGTCTAGTGGGGAGGCGGATTCTGGTTGTGAAGTACTGTTATACTGTGAATGTACTGTGAACATACCATTGAAATGAAATGAGGTATTTATATCCCGCTCATATGATTAACCAACAACACAAGGAAGGTGGTTAACCATGTCAGAGCGGCTGACTGTGAGTATAACTCCATTATAAGGCAAAGACTAAATTAAAACATCTTTTATTGTAAACCACACTAAACTAAGTAGAAGCAGAAACCATACAATACATGTAGGTATAATGAAGGTAAGTAAAGTGACATAATCAACCAAAATGAAACAGATCCTAGAAAGGTTAAGATCAAGACATAAAATGGAGTGCGGTAAAAAATTAAAGCCAAAGTGTCTTGTAAAGTGAAGACAAATGGAAAGAAATAACATCAAAACGATTATATAAATGGTTCTTTAACATTCGCTTGAAACAGTTGGTATCATTAATACATCTCAACAACAGTGGAAGAGAGTTCCATGCAACTGGTGCATGGCCTGAGAAACATCTGTCATCAACTTTGGACTTTTTATTCTTTGGTATCTTAAGCATGAGATGGTCACCTGGTCTCTTTGACCTGGTCAGTGTTTGAAAATTCTGTATCCACTACATCCACATCCAGTAATGCTTTGAGGTAACCATGTGCAATACACAATGTTTTCAATCCACTAATCAATGAGCAAGCTCATGGCGCCAAATCATCGTTTGAATATGGGACAATTTAAAAAACTCAATTAGTACTAGCAAAATTGCACGTTTTGCCTAGAAACACACATTTTCAGAGATTCTACCAGCATATGCCATATACTCTAAAATCACCTAATTTTTTATAAAATGTTTCAAATAGTATACACATAATGTCACAATGACCCAATATAAAAATAACCCTTCAAAAACTCAATATTTTGAAAATCACCCTTGGCCTTGCAGCTCCAAGTTCAAATCTAAACTGTCTATATTGACAAAGTTCTTTCTCGCCCCTCTGTCTCCCTGGAGAGAAATTACCGTTGTTCTTAAGATTTCGAAACAAAGGCGCTTCCTAATGTATCCCACATCATCTGAGTACCTCTGTCCTGTGTGGTATTCCATCACCTAATTTTTTTTAAAAAGAAAAAAAAGGGGGTACCCCCAACCCATGTAGCTGAGACACCTCACAGCAAGTAGACGAAAGTGGCTCTTGCTTGTGAAAGGTGTATCAACTACCCGCCGAGGCGGTGGGTTGGGAGTCCTCCCTGGGATCATTTCGTCCGTAAAATTTTACACAATATAAAAGCTACAATAAATTATCTATAAAATTTACATAAACAAACTTAAGAGACCTCAAAGCTCGTCTTCTGAGGAATGAGATTGAAGGATACGTCATCCAGTCCAAGGTGCTGGGCTTTTTGTCTTCCTCTGATTCCCCTGAGTGCTATGAGTGTGCTTCGTAGCAGATCAAACCTGAATCGTGTTCTGATGTGATTTTTGACCTGGCTCTTAGCTTCTTTATTGTGGTCAGCTGTCCTTTCAGAAATACGATCTACAAACACAGTGCAGAGTGGGCCCATACCTCCGGATGTTGTAAAGACTAGTGGGACAAAGGACCCTTTCTCTGACTGAAGTACTCTCTCCTCATAGAGATCTTTCTTCTCTTTCTCTTGCACACTGTAGATTTTATCTAGCGGCTTAAATGTATTTGATTCGCAATTAAGATGAGTGACCCTGATGTCAAAGAATGTTCTTTCGAATGGTGCATACAGTCAAAACATTTCCTTCAACCTCATCCCCCAAAAGACGAGCTTTGAGGTCTTTTAGATTTGTTTATGTAAATTTTGATATTTATGGCTATAATTTTAAAATATGGAAAACAAAATTTTAAGGAAAATGAACATAATAGATGTTAATTAATTTTTTGCTGCCATGTCAAGTGTTGACAAATTTGTTTTGTTAGTGAGATCCAATTGCTACACAGCCGGAGTCGCGAAAATAATTGTAGCGCACTAGTATAGTACTGGGCCGCGCGCGCATCCAATAATGCTTCTCGCAACCACATGCGCAACTTTATGCAAATCGGCAAAATGCGAAGGATTGACATCGTGAATCAACGAAAATAAATGTACAACGTGGGTCAAAGATCCAACAAGCTGCTTGATTGACCATGTAAATTTTGTACAGCTGGATGGTTTGATTCACGATATCAATCCTTCACGGCTCAGCGAGGCCCAGTGGTGCATCCCGCCCATCTTGCGAGAAGCATTTTTTGATGCGCGGCGCGGCCAAGTAGCGCTACAACTGGATGGTAGCACTGTTTATGTTTTTAGCTTTATAAGTTAGCTTGATGGATGATACTTGTTTACATTGCTGTGAGGTGTCTCAGCTACATGGGTTGGGGGTTCCCCCTTTTTTTTTAATTTTAAAAATTAACTTTGCAGTTAGTTTTCTCAACGTCTGGTGGAATGGGTGGTGAAGCTGAAAGACTTGTAAAGAAGCTGGATAGTAAAATGGAATTGGAATACCACACAGGGCAAAGGTATTCAGATGCTGTGGGATACATAAGGAATCGCCTTCGTTTCGAAATCCTAAGAACAACAGTGATTTCTTTTTGGGGAGACAGAGGTCAGAGAAAAAACTTCGTAACACATGCCATCGAGAAGAAAGCGGCACGCGCTACTTCGAAGAAATTTAGACGAGTAACATCCGTCAAGTCACAAGAGCAACTGCCTAAACGTGCAGAAGTGAACACAAATACATAAAATACTAGCAATCCTTTAAATTCGCAATAAATAAATTTGTTCAATGTCATAAAATTCTTAAAACCACATGTACGTGACCAGTAAATGATTTAATTAGTCTATAGACTACTGTATAAAATTCTCAATATAAACTTTTTAACAATAATAAATTAATTAAAAACACACAACAACCTTTGGTGTGTAAAAATGATTAAACAACCTCATTTTGACACAAAATATCTTTCATAATATTATAGTATATGCTATAATATTAAAACTGTTTAGTTGAGTTCAGGTAACAGAATTTAACTGTAATAGCACCTTTGCTGTGTTATCCATTGTTGAGATGTGGCCACATTTTCGTCCGGTCTAGCATTGAACCCGGCTCATGAAATATATACTTCGTCCGATCTAACATTGAACCCGGCTCACTAATCATAGGGGTGGTGTAGTATAGTAGTTGGAATATGATCAAATTTTTATAGTTTTATCTCTATTCGAAGGAATTCTTCTGCATCCTTTGTTATTCTTCTGCATCCTTTGTTAACAGTATCTTTTTGAATTTATTTGAAATTTATTTTAATAATGTTAATAATTTATTAATTTTTGGTGTTCAGACCAAGCAGATCAGGTCTTAATCTGGTTTCATCCAATAGATGTAGTAAAAGTGTGACAAAGGTCAAGAATATCCAGAAGTCTTTTCTCCCGGAGCGAGTTATTCCATATTGGAACAAACTCCCTCCGGACGTCAAGAACTCTGTGACAGTTATAGGTTTTAAAATTAAATTAGAAGGATATAAGATAGATATGATTTCTAAAAGTATTACAAATGATTGCTTTTTTTGGAATGTTTCTAATGAAGTTTTAGTAAGAATTGAGGGAGCCAGTTATGTCAGTAATAAAGAGAAACATAACAATTATCTTTGGTTCCATCCTTTAAATGTGGCAAAGAAGCGTTTTATAAATCTTTATTCCACTGGGAAGTTTTTAAAATAGGATAATGTTTTTGATGAAATTGTTTTTAAATATTGTATTTGATAATTAATTAATGTTGGTGGGGAACTATTTATTATATATTTTTTTCACACAGTGCGATGATAGTTTGTAGACATGTGTGATGATGTGATGTCATAAATTTTACTTTACTTTACTTTACTTTAAGATATTTATATTTTTCCATATAGTGATTTGATAATTTGTACACATGTGTGATGATGTTATGTCATAATTTTTACTTTACTTTACTTTACTTTTATCTACCACGCCCTTGACTGTAAACTAGGTGGTTACGTTAGCATGCGCCACAACGCTATTAGAGATACTGCTGCTTTCTTCCTCCGAGAAGCAAAGTGTAAAGATGTCAGGATAGAACCAGCACTACTGACAGTCCAACCAAACTCCTTCTCAAGAAAGACCAACATCCAGGTTGAAGCCCGTCTTGATGTTGCAGCTGTCGGATTGTATGCACCCTTTGAAAGAACATTTTTTGACATTAGGGTCACACATCCTAACTGTGACACAAACACATTTAAGACGCTAGATAGGATCTACAAAGATCATGAGAAAGGAAAGAAAGATTTGTATGAAGAGAGAGTACTTCAGTCAGAGAAAGGATCCTTTGTCCCTCTAGTCTTCACAATTGCACAACAACTACGGGCCCACAATGAGGTATTTGGATATATTATCTCAACATTAATCATTAGTACTGCACAACAACTACGGGCCCACAAT